CGGGTCAAAGGATCACTTGACCCGAAAGGGTAACTGATTTCTCTCCACAGTTGCTGCCAGACCTGCTGAGTTTTTCCAGCAATTTCTATTTTGTTTATCCACTCAACCTACCGGCTTCGGAAAGGTAGTCGCTGAAGTCATCTTTATCTTCATCATCATCTTCCTCCTCATCGTCTTCATTCTCACTGTCATCCTGCTCACTGTCCGACCCGTTTTCCGGCTCCAGCCTCTCTTCATTCGCGTGCAATCCCAGACCTTCAGCGCTGAAGAGAGAGTAGTTGTGCTCGTGGTTCTTCAGTTCAATTCCAGCTTCAGGGCTTTGCCCCCCACTTGCCTGCTGGGCAGACCAGATGGGGAACGCAGTTAGGTGGGTACACACACGACCGTCCCCCTTATTGAAGTCGGGTTTCTCTGCACCCATATCCCCCAGCTCGGTGGTCGCTAACCGTCTTTGATGCTTCCAAGAACTTGATCCTATTTTGTTATGAATTGCACCTTCTTCTGGGTTTGATGCAGAATCTACAGACGCTGTGGAGTTGCTGGTTTGGTCACTGAGGTCATTGTTTCCGGAGTTCGATGGTATTTCAGGATTTCTGATGTTCGCTGCATTGACACAGGACCTGCTGCTTCTCAAATGGCCTTGCTGGTCTTCCCCCTTCTGAAGAAAAGCAGTGCTCTCTGCCTGGAAGTCAGAATCTATTAAAGGATCCATGCAGTTACCTTTTTTAGGGTGTCCTGCAGTTCTGCAGACACTGTCAGGTTTACCAGAGAATGGGGAAGCCTCCTTCACAGGTCGAAGGAGACACCAAGAGTCAGTAACAAGCTGCGAGTCATCAGCGTTCAGCTCAGCTAATGTTGGTGTTCGCAAGATCTCGGCTTCGTTTTGATAAGGACTTGCGTGCTCGTCCAAACCCAACAAGTCCAACTCCTTGTCATTCCAAAGATCCACTTTGGTGTACTTGGTAAAGTCTTCTAAAGCTGATATATCCCATCGCTCACATCTGTTGCTGTCAGATGGTTCATCATCCACCAAGTCACTCAATAGCTCTATATTCTCTTTCACGGGACTTCTGTACAAATTCAGACTTAGCAGATCATTTCTGGAGCTATTTGTATAAGCCAGTTGACGTTCCTAGGATTGAAAAAAGAAAGTACAGTTAATATCTTGAGTGCGCTTTAAATCCCTGCCCACCACCAGCACTACCACCACCACCAACCATTCCTCACTCCTGCCATCCTCAACCCCACAATGATGCCCCATGGCAGAGGTAAGCCAACCCTATGACTTGGCAAGAGAGAAGGGCCATCCTTGCCTAACTCCAGTGAGACAGTGAGGATAACTGGGAAAATGTGTGAATTCACTTACTCGACTACCTTTGAGCTATGGCCTGAAGGCACTCCAGTAGAAAACTGGGGGAAAATAAAGCTCTATCTACAAGGGACAAGTCAGGAGCGTGATGGAATACTCCCCACTTGCCTGGATGGCTGCAGCCCCAACAACACTCAGGAATCTTGACACCATCCAGGACAAAGCAGCCGCTTGATTAGCACCACATCCACAAGCATCCACTCCCTCCACCACTGACGCTCAGTAGCAGCAGTGTCTACTATCTACAAGATGCACTGTAGAAATTCACCAAAGACCCTTAGACAACACCTTCCACCACCACCACTATTTAAAAGGATAAGGGCTGCAGATGCATGGGAACACCACCACCCACAAATTCCTCTCCAGCCACTCACCATCCTGACTTGGAAATATATCGCTGTTCCTTACTGTCGCTGGGTCAAAATCCTGGGATTCCCTCCCTAACAGCAGTAGATCTACCTACAGCACATGAACTGCAGCAGTTTAATAAGGCAGCTCACCACCATCTTTTCAATGGCAACCAGAGACAGACAATAAATGCTGACCCAGCTAGTGGATGTCCATGACCCATAAGTGAAAGGCATTTAGAGGCAGAAAACATGGATTAACTTTAAAATGGGGTTAATCCAGCTCATACAGTCACAGGCATTAACCCCCATCCTATCATGGTAACACATGGAAAACTGCTCAACAAGAAATAAGTCTTACATTTTCAGCTCCATTATTTGTTAGTGAATGTTAAATAATTTCCTTTTGACATTCTTGTCAACAATCACAAGGCATGGGTCAAGATGGTTTTAATAAATACAAGGCTTTATCTAATTGGTGCAGACACCCTGGTGGGAATTTTCAAACACAACAAATCCTAACAAAAGGGAGAAGATTTACAACACAGAAGGTGGCCTTTTGGTCCATCAGGGCCATACTATCTTTGAAAAATTTATTCAATTAGTCCCTTACTCTTTCCCAGTAAATCTTTCCTTGAGTTTTTACCTAATTCCCTTTTGAAGGTTCCTATTAAATCTGCTTCCACTACTCATTCAGGCCACTCCTTCCAGATCCTAACAGCCCGCTTTTTACATGTCTGTTTTCCTCATGCTGCCTCTGGTTCTTCTGTAAATTCTAAGCAAACGTCTAAGAAACTTGAAACATTTTCCTGAAAATGTTCTTTGCAGGAACATGAAAGTGTAAAGTGCAGGCCTTTATTTCATCAGTGTGAGGTAATGGTTGTAAAAGGTTAACACCAGAGATTGGAAGAAAAATAAAACAAAAAAAAGAGAAGTAGGCCATTCTGTCCTTCGGGCCTGCTCCACCATTCAGCAGGATAGTCATACAGCACGAAACAGACCCTGGTCCAACCAGTCCATGCTGACCATAATCCCAAACTGAACTAGTCCCACCTGCCTGTGCTTGGCCCATATCCGTCCAAACCTTTCCTATTCATGAACTTATCCAAATGTCTTTTAAACATTGTAACTGTACCCACATCCACCACTTCTTCTGGCAGTTTAGTCCATGGCTGATCATCAAATTTAGTCCCCTGTTCCCACTTTCTGTCCATACTCTGAGATCTGTTTAGCCCTTAGAACTATATACAACTATTTCTTGAAAAACGTACAATGTTTTGGCCTCAAACACTTTCTGTAGCAGAGAGTTCCACAGGCTCATCACTGTCTGGGTGAGAACATTTCTGCTCATCTCAGTCCTCAATGGCCTAACCTGTATCTTTAGACTGTGAGCTCTGGTTCTAGACTCTCCAGTCATTGGGAACATCCTTCCGGTGTTTACCCTGTCTAGTCCAGTTTGTTTGTTTTTGAAAAAGAATTCTAAGGGAAGAAAATAAGTGAAAAAGCCTGGGCACCAAAGGGAAAACAAATAAATAAGAAACAGGTTAAAGACCTTCATGTATATCTGAACATTAAGTTTTTTTGCTGCACAGTACTCACCAGTTGTGTGTAATGGTCACTAATGAACCTAAGTAGCAACTGTAGCATGTTATGGCAATAGAGTTTCCTCTACTGGTAAGAAAGGTGTACTGCAATATATAAAACGTATTCCGCAGGCTCATAAGAATATGTCATGTTATTTTTTTTTTGTAGAAATGGAATACAGGTGGGAGAAAGTCAGGGTGGGGTGGGATGGGGATGGAGGCTAGTGCAAAGGAAGCAGAATTAACTGTCACCAGTTTACGCTCCCTACCCAACATTCAGTTCCACTGACATCATTAGGATTAAAAATTAAGATGGGCACGATAGGGACCTCAATCCAGAGGCTGAGAATTGACAAAGATACAGTTGTTGCAATTGTTTCTGTTACTTGCTAGATCATGGATATTCATCCAGACCGTCACCGAGATTCTGTAGATCCGTGCCATTTCTGTGATAATGGTGCCTGTGGATCGGGTGGGTTGTGTGTTAAGTCGGCTGGGGATAAGACTAAATCCCAGAAAAAAAATAGAGCTGACGTTCGTAGAAGTGTAGAGATGTACAGCACAGAAACAGACCCTTTGGTCCAACTTGTCCATGCCAACCAGATATTCTGCATTAACCTCGTCCCATTTGCCATATCCCTCCAAATCCTTCCTATTTGTGTACCCATCCAAATGCCTTTTAAATGTTGTAATTGTACCAGCCTAAGACCACTTCCTCTGGCAGCTCATCCCATACATTCACTACCCTCTGCGTGAAAAAGTTGCCCCTTAGGTCAGTTTTAAATTTTTCTGTCTCACCTTAAAGATATGCCCTCTAGTTTTGGACTCCCCTATCCTGGGGAAAAGACCTTGACTATTCACCCTATCCATGCCCCTCATGATTTTATAAACTTCTTCATGAAGAAGACAAAGTTCTAAAGGACTGCGTGACTGAGATTGACAACATATTTGCTGCATTTGCCCGAGGTTTATGTGCCTCTTATTATGTCCTTTAAAGGTGTGATGGAGCAAAATGTGCCTATTAATTTATATTTAACCAGCGATGATTCTGGGTTTTAGCACACAGGGTCTTAGCTAAATGTAGTGATTGGAACCAGATCGATCTTGTTGAGTATGAGATTCTTGATTGGCCCAGGGTAACAACCCCAATCAGGAAGACCTGGCTGACCAATAGAAACAGGAGATTTAGAATCTCCTCAGTTCAGGGGACTGACTCCAAGCTGGCTGGCCACAGTCAGTGTAATGTCCACAAGTAAATAAAAGGTGACGTGGTGAGAAGATACCAGCCTCTGTGTAGTTATTTTCCTAAACAAAAAAAACCAAAGAACTGTGAATGCCGGAAATCAGAAACAAACCTCTGAACGAGGGCCACTGGACCCGAAACATTAATGCTGCTTTCTCTCCAGCGATGCTGCCAGCCCTGTTGAATTTCTCCAGCAATTTGTGATTTTTGTTTAGGGCTTAGCTAAAATCGTATTTAGAGTGCGCGTTGCTTGATCTTGTAAAGTAAAAAATCTTTTGTTTGGAACATGAAATCTTATGGCTTCAATCCTACAGTAAATAACTAGAATATTTTTCCTTTTCTTAAAAAGAAACACAAGTTACTGGCCTCATTCAAGATCATGGCAACTGCCTGAAAGGGTAGAGGAAGCAGATGACTTGCAAAAGAGAATTGTGTACACACATGAAGAAAGGAGAAATCTGCAAGTCTATCGGAAGTTATGAGGAGAGGCTGGGATTTTTTTCACTGGAGCTAGGAGGTTAAGGGGTGACCTTCTCGAGGGCGGCACAGTGGCTGAGTGGTTAGCCCTGCTGCTTCACAGCGCCAAGGGCCCAGGTTCGATTCCACCCTCGGGCGACTGTCTGTGTGGAGTTTGCACATTCTCCCCGTGTCTGCATGGGTTTCCTCCGGGTGCTCCGGTTTCCTCCCACAGTCCAAAGATGTGCAGGCTCGGTGGATTGGCCATGCTAAATTGCCCATAGTATTCAGGGATGTGCAGATTGGGTAGGTTAGAGGCAGATGGGTCTGGGTGGGATGCTCTGAGGGTCATTATGGACTTGTTGGGTCGAAGGGCCTGTTTCCACACTGTAGGGATTCTATTCTATTCTAAATCACGACGGGTACAGATAAGGTAAATGGCAGGTGTCTTTTCCCTAGGGTGGGGGACTTCAAGGCTAGGGGGCATATTTTTAAGGTGAGGGCAGAAAGATTTTGGAAAGACATGAGGGGAAATTCTTTTTTTAAAAACAGAGAGTGGTTCATGCGTGGATTGAACTATGACTATGAGAAAGGGGAGTGGAAATGGATGGTTCTAAAAACCTGACATGAGAAGACTGAGTAATCTCCTCCTTTGCTGTAGCATTCTCAGATATTTGCTCGTACATATATATTTTACATATATGTATTTACAGTAGCGCTAACATTAGTCTAGATGGGTGCACGCTGGTAGCAGTGCACAGGCTCAATTGAACATTGATTTATTGGATTATTCAGCTACTGCCTAGAGAAGAGACTTTACAATTAGTCCGCTTGAGATCCGCGCACCTGCTCATACAGGAAGCCAGAGTTTGGACTGCTATCTGGGCTGGCAACAGTCTGGTCCAGGGATGAGTAGAGGCAGCAACTTCGAAAAGCATCTCCGAAGGCAGGTTCCATCCCACTAACATTGGGCTGAGGAAAAGAGGGAGGGGAAAGAAAGTCATTAGAGATCACAACTAGATACACACATTTAAAATAAAAACACATTACAGGGCCTGCTCCCAACATATCGTGAGTGAGACAAACACTCAATGCCAGAATCACCTACTTACTAATCCTTTGTCAGGCAGAATGGTGATTTGCTTTGTAAATCCTGGAAAGATTAAAGCAATCTGGTCACACCCGGGCTGCACTTTGAGGTTAGCCTCCATTAGATTAGCCCTTTGCTGGCTCTTACTCCTGATCTTCTTTGGCAGCAAATCCTTTGACAATAGGATCCTTTGCAACCAGTACAGAAAGCAAAACATGCTTGACTGATGCAACAAAAGGAAAGGCTTGCTGTGCTCCTCATCCTTAAGAGCACTATAGGGCTTTGCAGGTTACCGTGGCAGCGTCACGGTGACTCATTCTTCCAGGAGATAGTTAGAGCTGGATGAAAAGCATCGTGTGTAATTGGATACGACATATATTTTGAAAATGACGATGCAGGATGTTTTACTTTGCTGCTTAAACTACAGAAAGAATGAGCAGTGATAGAGGGAAGCTGGAGTCATACACTCGGTTTTCAGACACGTCTTGGTGGATAACGCTCTAGCTCAGCTCAACTTACCCCACGCAGAGATGCGAGCCCCAGAACGTAGGTTGGCTTCCAGCACTTGGAATCACAGAGATGCTATGCCACGGAAGGAAGCCATTCGGCCCATCGTGGTGGTACAGGCCCTTCACACGAGCATCATTACCACCTGCCAAAGACCTGCCTTTTCCCTGTGACTCCTGTACATGGCCTCTATTTAAATAACCATCTTGGAGGCCCCTGCCCCACCACCTTTCTGGGCAGTGCGTTCCAGACCTTAACTTGTTACTCAATTGGCTGGATGGCCACTTTGTGATGCAGACTGATATCAGCCGAACTCTGGCTTCCTGTAGGAGCAGGTGCGTGAACCTCAAACTGTCTATTTGTAAAGTCTCTTCTTTAAGCAGTAGCTGAATAATCCCCCAAATCAATGTTCAATAAATTGTATGCCCTGCTACCAGAGCACACCCGTCTAGCCTAATGTTAGTGCTACTGCAAATATGTCTATGTAAAATACATATATGTACGCACTGGTCAAGGTCATCATGAAGGACGAATCATCTCAGCCTCGCCCCTCGCCTGAGGTATTTTGACCCTCAAGTTAAACTCACCACAAGTCTAATGAGAGAACAGCTTCATAGTCCTCTGGGAATATGGGACTTCACCGTCAAAAGGCCTTTGAACGAGACTTTTAACCTTGGCACTGCCTGCCTTCTCAGGTGGCTGGAAAGATCCAGATTTAGGGTGGCACGGTGGCTCAGCGGTTAGCACTGCTCCCTCACAGCGCCTGGGACCTGGGTTCGATTCCAGCCTCGGGTGACTGTCTGTGTGGAGTTTGCACGGGTTCCCTCCAGGTGCTCCGGTTTCCTCCCACAGTCACAAAGATGTGCAGGCTAGGTGGATCGGCCATGCTAAATTGCCCATAGTGTGTCCAGAGATGTGCAGGCTTAGGTGGATTAGCCATGGGAAATGTGGAGTGGTGTGGTAGGGTAGGGTAGGGTAGGGTAGGGTAGGGTAGGGTGGGTGTGGGTGGGATGCTCTTCAGAGGGTTGGCATGAACTCAATGGGCCAAATGGCTTGCTTCCACACTGTAGGGATTCCACGATTCCATAAAATGCTCAAAGAAAATCAGGGATGTCGTGGCAAATTTGTAACCCCTGATCTTTTGTTTACTCCCTTTATTCTTTAATGGGCTACAGGCATCACTGACGGTCAGGGATATAACCAATAATGTCAGTTGCTGCAAACTAGGAAGAAAAATAAAGCCAGAGAGTGAGGGCTGCTTCACATCACCATCCAGTGACTCCTCCAGAAATCTGAAAATAGGTCACAGCGGTGGGACTGCTGTTTGCATTACAATCTATTGGCTTCTGGTGCAGCAACAGCTCAGATTTAAACATTCTCATCCTTTGCTCAAATCGCCAGGCTCCATCTTCGTAATCTCCTCCAGCCCACACAACTTGCAGAGAATTCTGTCCTTGAACTCCAGCTTTGAAACTGCCCAGATTTCCTCTGTGCCAACAGTGGCAACCATTTTGACCTTAAAACCTTGGAAACTCCTCCCTAAAACTCTCCTCCCTCCCTCCCTCAAAAGGGGCTTAATAAAATCTCTCTCTTTGAGCCTTTGGGGTCAGCTGCACTGATATCTCTTAGTGGTACAGTGTACTTTCTTTATTCTTTCTGTTGACTATGCTGAAGGTGTTATCAAAATGCAATTGTTGGTGTTTTGAGAAGGGGAAAGAGGACTGGAAGATATGGTGGTAAGCTGCCTAAGTGCTTATAGTAATCCTTCATGACTTGATGGAATAAGAGGTGAACTTATTGGTGCCAGGACTTGGTCCCTGTAAAGCTTTTTCTAAGTTCACACCAGCAATCTGAGCTCTAAAGCTGGAAGAACTGAAGCTGAATGTTGTTTTCTAGACTGTGTGGGACTGCGAGCACAACACAGGTTGCAGACAAAACGTTTTGGCTTCAAACGATTTTCGATCAGTGTTAACTGGAATCAAGACAAGTTTGGCTGGAATGCTTCAGGATTGCCAGAACACATTCTCTAGTTCCCAGATGATCAGTGCATAAGCGTTCAACTCTTCCCAACCTGCTCCTCAGCTGTCTTTACTGAGATGAGGAGAAATGTCTTCACCCAGAGAGTGGAACAGACTGCCACAGAAAGCAGTTAAAGGCAAAATATTGTTTTCAAGAAGGAGATATGTATAGTTCTGTGAGCTAAAGAGATCTAAGGGTATGGGGAGAATGTAGGATTAACCATTATCATATTGAATGACGAAGAAGACTTGAAGGGCTGAGTGGTCTACTCTTACTCCTAGTTTTGATGTGTTTATATCTTGGTGTTCTTCAATTCCAGATAGTCCACAAACCTCACTATCACCTTATGTTAATAACTGGATGACAACTTGCACTCCTTTGCACAATAACCACAATTACAGCCTCAGAGCAACGCTTCCATTGTTGGTGATCACAAATGAAATCGTCATTATGGGCTAATCTGAGCAGTAAATGGCATCAAACAAAGCCAGTGAAATGCCTCTTTCAGGTTGAAGAAAGTCTTGACACCAAGCAGTCCAGGGAAGGCAAGGTTGTCCGCATTGTCATTCCTAAACCCGTCTATTTTTTTGAACAGAGCCATAAGGGTCGGAAGGTGACACCATCAGATGTAGAAGTAGGCCATTCAGCCCATCAAATCTGCTTCCTACTTCAAATAGACCACAGCTGATCAGATAATCCTCAACTTTACTTTCCTGCCTTTTCCCATTACCCTTGATTTCCTTACTGAATAAAAATCTCTGTCTTGAATACAATTAACAACTCAACATCTATAGTATCTGCAGTAAAGAAATCCACAGATTCATAATTTTCAGAGAGTTAAAATGCTTTAAATGCACAATTCCTAATTCTGAGATCATGTCCTCTGGTCTATACTCTCCAACTAGGAGAAACAATCTCTCTATGCTGAACCTCTCACGTCCTGTACTTCTCAATAAGGTCATCTTTCCTTCTTCTAAACTCCAATGAGTACTGGCCCAACTTACTTAACCTGTCCTCATAAGATAGTCCCTTCATACCCGGTATCAGCCTGGTGAACCTTCTCTGGGCCGCATCCAATGAACAGATTGCTGGCGTACAGCTGTTCGCTCCACTGAGTACAGACCCAGAGTCCTCAACCACTCCTCATATGACAAGCCCTTCATCCCCGGGATCGTTCTCGTAAACCTCCTCTGGATCCCATCCAATGCCAGCACACCTTTCCCAAGATACGGGGCAGAAAACTGCTTACAATATTCCAAATGCGTTCTGACCAGAGTCTAAAATAGCTTTATATAGCCTTAGCAGTACGCTCCTGCTCGTTTTCCAGCTCTCTTGAAACGAATGCCAGTATTGCATTTGCTTTCCTAACTGGCAAATGACCTGCATCCCAGCATCTGCAGTTTTGTTCTATTTCAAGGAATCTGCCCAGATTGGTCTCAGGAATGTGATTGACTCTTACCTGCCGTCTGAAATGGTCCAGCAAACCACTCACTTCAAAGGGTCATTTGGTGAGCCTTCAGAGGAAGGGTCACTGGACCCAAAACATTAACTCTGATTTCTCTCCACAGATGCTGCCAGGCCTGCTGAGCTTTTCCAGCAACTTCTGTTTTTGTTCCTGATTTACAGCATTCACAGATCTTTTGGTTTTTTAAAGGATATTTCGGGATGGGTAACAAATCAACAATGGCCACACACAAGAATTAAAACTAAACTCTTTTTGAACAAATGTTTGTTAACCAATATGTAAATGGGGCTTCAGAGCTGTATGAAGTTCTAACCTTCTAGCAAAGTCCCTTCACCTGATGACTAAGGTCACAGTCACATCACAATGTAACTCACAGTCATCTAGACATTTATTGAAGTCAAAAATAAAATTGCGGATGCTGGAATCCAAGGTAGACAGACAGGAGGCTGGGTGAACACAGCAGGCCAGGCAGCATCTGGAGGAAAGGAGCAGTCAATGTTTCAGGTATTACCCTTCTCCAGGACAGGGTGTGGGGATAGGGGGGAGCTACAGATAAAGTTGGGGGGGGGGTGCGGAAGAGAAGTGGGGTAGCAGAATGCTGGTGTTGGTGGACACTGGTAGTAGGTATGACCTGGTTGGTTGATGGGAGGGATGAATCTGGTTGATGGCTGGAAGGGAGGGTCAGAAGGTGGAATGGAAGGGGGAGGTGGGGCTGGAAAGGGAGCCGGGACATGGGCAGGAAGGTTATTTGAAATTAGAGAACTCAATGCTGAGTCCTCCGGGCTGTAGGGCGCCCAGGCGGAAGATAAGGTGTTGTTCCTCATATTTGCGTTCTGAATAACTGCAACACTGAAGAAGGCCAAGGTTGGACATGTTGGAGGGGGAGTTGGCATGAAGTGGGGGCGTGGGGGATGGGAGTTGAAATTGTTGGTGACCGGGAGGTCAGGCTGGCTGTTATGGGCTGGGTGAAGATACTCGGCAGAAGGTCACCCAGTCTACATTTGGTCTCACCGACGTAGAGAAGGCCACATCGAGAACACCAGATTAAATAGACTAGGTTGGAGAAGATGCAGGTGAAGCTCCGACTAACCTGGAAGGGCTGTTTAGGGCCCTGGATGGAGGTGAGGGAGGTGGTGTGTGTGCAAGTGTTGCATCTTTTAGGTTACAGGGGAAGGTACCGGGGGAGAGGGCGGGTTGGGGGGATTTGGTGGGGAGTGTGGCGCGAACTAAGGAGTGGTGAAGGGAATGGTCCTTTCGAAAGGCAGAGAGGGGTGGGGTGTGGAAGATGTCTGGGTCTAATTGGAGATTCATTAAACCGTATTTCCACACCTGACCACCCACAAAAGTTCCTACTATCCTGAATGTTCTCACTTCAATGGATGTGAAGAGCTTCCAGATGATTTTTGTGAGAGAGTTAAATTTGAAAAATAGATTGTTCCTTATTTGGCAATTCATCTCAGTTCTATTCAAAAACTGATACAATTCACTTCCTGTAACCCCATCAGCAGAATCTCCTACTTCTTCCTTTGTGTCCTTACTTAACATCCTTTGAAATCGCTCTACATTACAAGCTTTGCTCCCTGACAAATATTGCTTGATAATTCACCTCTGTAGGTATCCTGTAGACCTTTGCCTAAACTGAACATTGCACAAGCCTGTCTACAGCGAGGTAAATCTATCACATCAATCAATGCCACATGCACATCCTCTAACACAAAGCTTTTAAAAACAAAAGCTGTTTAAAACATTTCCATTTGTATAATACTGTATGGAAAAGAGTAATGAGAGGGGAGGGCCATTGAAAAGATTGACGTTGAACGAACAAACATTTTGGGATTCCTGTGAGCTATAGAAAGAAGTCACATTGGACAGACAAACAGACACGTACATGCAAACAAAGCAGACTGAGGTCAGGAGGTCTATTAGACGAGGCAAACCAAAATAAAACAGATAAAAACTACAACTTCCTCCTGGCTTGATTTGAACTGAGCTGCAGCATGTAGGACCATTCTCCAGGAAACACTGCAGCAATTGGTAAGTGGTGTTTTTTTTGTGTGTAAATTTCTGCAGGTGCTCTGGCAAGTAGCCAGAGGAAGAGGTTTAACTATATTTAGTGGAGAAGAAACCTGACACTCTGGACTGTCTTGTTGTACAGCTGCTTTGGGGTCAACAATGGCAGCCACTGCTGTTGCGTTTTTTTTAAATGAAATAGCCCCATTGCAATCCTCTGGTGCACCCCAAAGCAGCCATTCTATCTGCCCAGGCAGGGATCATTGCTGGGGGAGGCGATGGTGCAATCTCATTGTTGTTGAATGAGAAATGCACAGACCCAGGAAATGGTTTAGGGACACCAGGTTCGAAGACCACGACAGCAGATGGTGGAATTTGAATTCAATTGAGGCCTGGAATTAAAAGTCTAATGATGACCATAGTCGATTCACCTGGTTCACCTTAGGGAAGGAAATCTGCCACCTGGCCTGGTTTACGTGCAACTTCAGGAAAGGTGGCTGATTCTCCACTACCCTCTGAAAGATCTGGGTAAGCCAGTCAGGTCAAGGGCAACTAGGGGTGTGCAACGAATGCTGGTCCAGCCAACAGTGTCCACATCCTGTGAATGACTAAAAGAAAATTGTACGCTCTCTTCCCATCCAGAGAGAGGTGTTGCCCATGCAGGGGGTCACTGAGCAAGGGGTCGGGAACGTTTCCTCCCCATAGCACGGGAGTTCATTCATTCACTCATTTTCAATGTGCACATAGTGGGACAACGTCTTGCTTCTCTCTGGCTTTCTTCAAGCTCAGTCTGTATCTAATGTGATCCATTCATCTAATTATCCTCTGTGTTTTTACCTACAATTTCTCTTTTCAGTTGTTGCCGAGTCAAGGCTGTCAGGATTTTACTTCCATTGTCTGCTCGTGGTTATCTTCCTCTCTCTAGCTGCTCGATTGCTGGATTTCTTTACTGCGAGCTAGCCTGCTCAAGGGGGTTTCTGTCAATTTGTCAATTCTGAGCAACTTTGGTCAAAAGACCCAACCTCGTTCTCTTGGGGAAAGAAAGGCTTTCATCACTGTGTCTCACACCCTCAGGATGCCCCAAAGCAGTTTTCAGCCAGCACATGCTTTTGCAGTGCAGTTACTGATGTAATACAGAATGTGCAACAATTTGCATACAGGAAGATCCCATCAACAGTAATCGATAATGACAGAGATAGTAGGAACTGCAGATGCTGGAGAATCTGAGATAACAAGGTGTAGAGCTGGATGAAC